CCCTCCTCCCTCCTCCCTCCTCCCTCCTCCCCTCTCCCCCCTCCTAAGCTCTTCAGGGCTTCTGAGTTGGAAGGCTGGATGCTCTATTTTTAAAGTCAGTTTTGTTTAGAGCATTACTGAGGGCTTTAGTGTAAAAAACATTAAACAGTTGCCATCCATGTTTAAGAGAAAGACACTGTCTCATTCTTCAAGTCCAGTATTTGGAAATACATGGACTTTCCCCCCATGTTATGATAACACCCTGAGAATCAGCCCAGCAAGGGCTTGATCCAACACAGGCATTCCTTTTTGTCATACCCTACAAACAGAACTCTTGGACTTAGTGTTTTTGGATCCTAGAGCCTTCTGACTTTTCCTTAAAGTCACTTGAATGAGTCCGTCTCCTGGGATTATCTGTTATGCTCGTCTCTCTGAGCAGGCTGGGTCCCCGGAGGAAGCCCCCATTAAGGAGACAGTGTTGGCGAGGCCACTGTCCTGCCAGTTTCTGAGATGACCACTGGCAGCTAAACAGTGTGTTCACAGCAGCAAACTGGGGGCTCCACGGAGGAAGCGTAGGCATGGCATCCACCTCAGTGCATTGCAAGGATTTACCGATGCACTCAGACTAGCTGGTTTGGACATGTGTGTGCTCTCATGCCCCTGGTGTTCCAGTATGAGCATACCCACACACCCCCACTCTGTAGCACACAATAGGACTGACTTCCAGAGCCCCGGAGGCTGTATAACTAGCAGCTTGTGTGTGGAAGCATAATACTCTTCGGATGGAAGCTACAAGGAACAGCAGGAAGCAATGTGGAGGAAATGCTAGCCTTGAAGGGTAGAGGACTCTGGAGTGAGTGGACACTGTGTTCGCTGCCCATCAGGCAGACCTGTCCTTGGATACCCCTACTAAGAAAAGTATTCTAGAAACTGGCCACCGCTGGGCGTTGGTGGCACAGGCCTTTAGTCCCACCACTCAGGAGGCAGAGGCAGGGGGATCTCTGTGAGTTTGAGGATAGCTTGGTCTACAGAGGGCCAGGACAGGCTCCAAAGCAATATAGAGAAACCCTGTCTCAAAAACCAAGAAAAAAGAAAGAAAGAAAGAAAGAAAGAGGAAAGAAGAAAAAAAAGAAAAAGGAAGGAAAGAAAGAGAAACTGGCCACTCTCCTCCAAACACAGTTAGCCGGCCTTGAAAACTCAGATGTGGTAAAAACTTCTGTGTCAAGCTAAATGTTTGCCTCACTTCTACTCAAAGACTGAGCCACACCAGGGCAGGCTTCCTGCCGCCGCACACTGGTGGGTCTAAAGTGTTCTGCACAGTCACCTCCTGAGAAGGCAGCCTGACCTGTGTGTCATCATCTCCCTGCCCTGTGTCTGCTGCCACTGGCCACATCTTCTCTTGTATATTTCCTGTACCACCCTTGGCTTTCTTTATCTCTGCCCGATGTCTGAACGAGTTTGATGGGGTTAGAGAATTTTTCTTTAATGACAATTCAGACCTATTACAAAAGTGGACACGTTTGCCCTACCAAAACACTGCCCTTATTTTTTTCCCCTTTTAATCTTGTATCTCTCATTCCGAAAACAGTTTAATTGGTAGTTTGAACATGTCACAGGTTTCAAATGTGCTATAGTCTATGTTGTTATGGGCAAAAGAAATCTCAGCCGAGAAGGGGGTGGGGTACCCCTTCCTCTGCCTGGCTGTTTGCAGGAGAGACAGGGGTCTCTGTAAATAGCTGTCACCCCCAGCCAATGCATATTTTGAAAAATCAAAACTCCTCATTTCTGCTAAGCATTTTTCTGCTGAAACATCTTAATTGGGGCCTTCAGTGAGAGAAACATAATTTTACCTGTATTGTGTATGCCATGAATCTCAAAACGAGGTCCAGTTTTAATTATGAATCATGAAATTATATGCACAGAAAGCTCTCCCCTGCCCCCACCCCAGCCAATATCACATCCGTGTTCTGTTGGAATAACTTGCAGCAGCTGCTTTGTGCTCTTGCCCTCTTTTATGGCTCACATAATTACAAGGTGCATCCAGCACCTTTCTGTGCTGACAGCCGTCATCCCTATGAGTGCTCACAAGCTGTGCCTGGGCTCACCGGGGCTTGAGACTCCTCCCTGAGCCTCCACACTGAGCATATGGTGAAAACATTTTTTCCCTTTATTGTTGTGCCGAGAAATGAATTGTCAACACTTATTTTTAAATGCAGGGCCCCCACCCCCCCCTCTCTCTCTCTCTCTCTCTCTCTCTCTCGTGTGTGTGTGTGTGTGTGTGTGTGTTTGTGTGTGTGTGTGTGTTTGTGTGTGTGTGTGTGTGTGTGT